CTTTTGCGGACGTTCTGAGCATTAACGTCTTTAAGTTGAATTTTAAAATTTGCGCTTCTCCAGTCTCCAACCATTTCTTTTTTGGTGGCTTCAAAACAGTGACTTTAGTCTCCAGCGCAGTGGTTTGTCTTTTGGTTCTCGCCGTATCTCTCGGATTGATCGACGAAACTAGGTAAGAGAAAGCCAAAGCACCCAGTCCGCACTCAACAAAGCCCACGGGTCACTGATGTGATCCAACATGCCAACTGATGTGTGTTGACCCTGAGAAACGAAAAAGTAGATCAGCAAAGTGTGATCGGATCGCGTAACATTCAGTCTCAAAGTTTGTGTGAAAAAGAAAGTTTCTTCAGGATCGTTTTTCTGTAAGCGATGATAGTTCGCCAGGCACAGGTTTTAATCGAACTTTTTCCAAAAGCGAAGGCATTGGGCCATAGTAGACAAGCTCCCAGAGCGACGACCATGAAATACGAACAGTTAGTTGAATGAATAAAACCACGGAAAAAGGTTTTGCAGCTGTTTTTAGCGGGCACAACTCAACTGCGCGAGAGTTGGGCTGTAAAAAAACAGTCGAGCACCAACATGCCATGTTGTGTTGCCGCAAACAACACTTCCTTGGCTTTCTGCAACACGCTTGTGTGCCAATTCCAGCAACGGGCACGGAGGAAGTAGCACACATTTTTTTGCTTTGATCAGATTCGGATACAGGCAGCTTTAGTTAAGCCCGATTGCTTCAGCGAGCCATGGAAAATGTCGGAAAGCTCAGCCACCACGGCCACGCTTTCCACCCAAGCGGACGTAGCAAGGACTTCAGCACTTCGTTCGGGATCTTGGGTTTCGAACTTGCTCCAGGATTTATTCTATTCCGTGGGACAATTTACCCCACACTTGGGAAGATTCGTTTGGCAGGGGCACCTGACCCTAAAGGTCCGGGTGATGTGGAGTTGCGACAGCGTGCAGCTGGCGACCGAATGATGCAGGACCGATTCACATCGGCCGCTGTTGGTGGAAGGGCCCGCGAAGAGGGAATCAGAGACTTGGCAGGCATAAGATGGCAGGCCATGGCCGAAACTTCTCATCCCGAACGTCGCTAAACAACAACGGTCTTGGGTCTGTTGCACATCCGTTTTCCCGTGGGCAAAAGCGGCGTTCAACTTTCTAGACATTCGAACTTCGGATTCCAAGCTTGGGGTAGCACAGCCCGACTAGAATTGCAGACATCATCCCGATGCCGCGGTCTAGACACGCACGAGACTGCACACCCCAAACCCGTAAACCCCTTAACCCTAACTTCCCGAAGCCTTACAGTCTTAACATCCTTGTACTCTAGGTACCCTAGTACCCTGAAGCCTCAAAGCCCCACAGTCGTATGCTCACAAAATGGTTCTGCAGCTTGGCTGAGGACTTGTCGGGCATTGAGCTGGAGGTGAGCCCTTGCTCTTGTCGACACGAGTTGTGAAAATGGGGCTTATGTCTTGGGCTCAATGAGCGGTTCTACAAAGGGCTCTTATACGCGTCGTACGAGGCTTCTGTAAGTTTTGTTCAAGCGTGCATTTAGGGTTTGGACGGATACCCTAAAGAAGGCGTCATTGGTAAGAAGGACCCTCCAAGCGACCTAAATTTGAAAGCTAGCCAAATGCACGTTGGGTTCGCGACGTGGGAATCAGGCCCCCGGGGTTCATCGGTTTCGAGGCATTGAGCTGAAGCTTGTCTCCTGCATCGAAGAGTCGCTTCATTTTAAACTGAAGGCTTGAAAGTCGCTTGCTGGGAGTGCATGCGAAATGGATACAACCTGATGCGACTTCGAATCAGTTCAAGTGCCATCGACAGTCCGTGGGCTTCTCGGGTAAACTATTCTGACTTCACGAGGGTGCTAGCCCTGCGGAGGAGTTTGCTGCCGCCAACCCAGCACGGCAGCCGGAGGCACGGCTCCCAGCAGATGCGCCACGGCTGTGCTAGCCATCACGACCTGTACGAACAAGCACCCGACTGTGAAGCCACGTGAAGCCCAAACTCTCATTGACCCTGTGTCCAAGGCGACGGCCGCTCCAGGAGGTCTCTTCGGGTTGATGTTTAAGCATCTTCCCCTAAGGGGTCCAGGGTACTTATGTGCAGAAAATTGGGCCATAGAATACTAGCCATACCCAAAAGCCTTATACAGTATGGTCTTTGGGCCCGAAGCCTTAGAATATGAGTCCTTAGAGCCGGAAAATAATGGTTCTGGAATCTGAGTGGTCGGGTTGCTCTCATGGTGCGAGAAGTTCCAGGATTGTCCTGGTAGGGACCTCGCAGGCTTTGACCCACGAATTCGTGAGAGTGTTCCCTGCTCGGTCTCCCTATCGGAGCTGACCGCCGAAATGCTTCTGGCGAGTAGGACCCCTTTTTTTATAGGTTCTTTATAGAGAACCGAGTTGATGGATGTACTTTTGAGAGGCTCCAAGAGCTCTGAGAGTAGGACCTCTTCTAACGCAGCAGGTGCCGGTGGCATCTGTGAGCTGAGCCCACCTTGCCAGGCCCACCACCTTCAGCTGAGATCCAGGTCCTGCTTTCGGGGTATAGGTCTTGCATGGGTGTCGGGTCAAGCGCCGGAAGGTGTAATCGTTCGATCTTGTCACGAACATGTAGGGGCTTCGGAGCTACCCTAAACTACGGAGCTATCTTGCGTTTCATGTTCCTCGTGGTGCGTGCCGGGCGTTTCGAATTGTCAGCCTAAGCTGTGGAGCGACGACTCATCGGCGTTGAATCGGGCTTCCGGGTGTTTCGGTTCCTGACTGCTCCCTTTCGGGTCCAGGTTCCAGGGGTCTGGAATGTGCATGTAGCTAGCTTTCACAGCTGTCCAGAGCAGGCCGAAAGGAGGGATTGACACACACTTGGGTCCTCTTCCCAAGTGATGACAGATCTCGATCCGTTCGCGTTTGACCGCCGTAGTTGAGCATTCAGAGCTTACATGCTTTGCGTGTGCGCGTTGACTTGGTTCATGCTTGGCAGGCGCGTCGAAGATGCGGCAATGCCTGCTGCAGGCGACGTTCGTTCGAGTTTATGAGCAGGGCTACAGTACACTGACCAAAGAAATGAAGAGGTCGGTTTTTGGGGCCATGTGAATGATTCGGCGTGGGTGCTGCAGGAGCTTCCGCAGACTGCTCTGTTATTGCCAAGAGGCGCGGGCGCGGGGGCTCTGCTGAGGTTGGAAGTGGAGAGCTCGAGGTTGTAGGCTCCGGGCTGCTGCAAGAATTCGGGCTACCAAGAAAGCGCGCCAGAAGCCCAGCTCAGGTGCACAAAGGAACCATCTGCGACGGCTGTAGCATGGAGTCTTGGCGCAAGGGAGGCCAAGCCCCACTGAGCGTCCTAGGCCCGTTCAGTTGCCAAGTGCAGTGTTGAAGGCGTTTTTGTGGGTGCTGGCTGAGCCGAGGATCCCATCAGGGGCCCCCGCTACAAGAGCCGAGACTGCGAAGACTTTGACCTCTGCGGCGTTTGCCACGAAGACTGGACGTCTGGAGGCTCACAGCTCGCACAGGCCCGAGTTTCTCTTTTTTTTGGCAGGGTCGTAGTTCGTCTGCCAAGTCCCTAACCATGGCTCCTCTGTGCTCCGCTCGCCCCTAAATCCTCAACCCGAACATCCAGGCCCATTGCTTCAAAAAGATGAGCGCGATGGAAAGCGAGGAGGAGCAGGCAAGGATGAGGGGCTTCTGCTTGAGCTGTGCATCGATGCTCAACAAGCACTCTTGTCATGTGGAAGCGTCGGAAGACAGTGAGAATCCTCATCGGAACTCTTGTGCGCTAGTGGGAACGGTTTGGGCCGTTCAGGTATGATGTGCCTGCTCTCTAGGCTTTCGAGCTGCTTCCGATGTGCATGGTTGTGTGCAGGCCGGTGCGGCTCATTGGAAGTCCACGGAATCTTTCCGATTGACCGTCAAGGAGTGTCCGAGTAGGGATAGTTTTAGTCCCTCTGATTGCTTGAGTTCATGCCCCTTGCTACTATCAATAGTTCTGATGGCTGTCAAAATCGACAGCCAATCAAGGAGCGTCCCGCCAACCGGTCAGCCGCAAAGATCACCTACCCCGGCTACCAGAATGATGACGCAGACGTCTGCTGGATTTCCTTTCCGGGCAAGTACAAAGGAGCTTCGGCACAAGCAAACCCGCAGAAAAAACATGCAGCAACAACATCTGCAACAGTTTCCATTCCCTGGCAGAGATTTCGCAGAATCTGCTGAAAGGAGGATGGGATGCGTTGACCGCACAGACGAAAGACTCTGTCGCCTGCGTCTTCTTATGCAAACCAGAAGATGGTCTCGGCCTCAAGTGGCGTATTAGGCGGGCCGGCAGGAGCTGCGTATGTTGTCGCTTAAGAGTCAAGAGGCTCTAGATTGTCGATGTTATGAGACCGCCAGTCTACGAGTCCGAAGATCCTTGATTCATGTCTCTCAGTGTGCTGCCTGCGCCAAGGGGAAGGCCGTCACGAACCGGATCCTGACAACGAGGCCCTGTGCCTTTGTCACAGAATCTACGGCCAGTCCAAGCCATGGGGCTGTTATTGGTACAAGGCGTGGAAGGACAACGTTCACAGAGCGAGAAGGCAGAAGCAGCGGCTCAAGGCGGTGTTCTTCGCAGGTCAGGTTGGCAGGGGCAAGGTGAGCATGAAGGATCTCCCGACAGTCGACTTGTGGGATGGGATCGGGCTCGGGGGCTCGCAGAAAGCCGAGTTGGCTACGGCTGACGAGGAAGGATGGGAGTATGAAGAGGTCGACGTTGCGACAGTACTTCTAGGAGCCTTCCCTGAGGGTGCACAAGTCGATGCTTGGTGCGACGCCGACAAAATGTGGCGAAGGGGTAGAGTTGCGAAGTTCAAGAAGGACGTGAATGACAAAGGGCAGGAACAGGTGAGCTGGATGGTGTGCTGCGAGACAGGGGAGACGATCGACACCCAGTACGTGATGGACGCTGCCATGTCCATGCAGGGGGTCCTGGACTGTTTGGGCCCGAGCCTGAGGCCACGAGCAGTACAAGAGCAGCTGTAGTAGGGGCATGTGCCACAGGAACAAGCAGCAGGACTTGACACAGCTAATCATTACTTAACAATGTGTTCAGGCCTCCGTTCCTGTCTTCCTAAGGTGAGCCAAAGCTCGTCGAGATCTTGACGCAGTGTCTGTCCCGAACAGGCAATATTGTGGTACAGCCAGGAGTGCAGCCAGTGCGACCATCGAGGCTTGCTTCAGGGGTCTCAGAGATGCTGGTTCGAGTACAGGTGAAAGACGTTTTGGCTCTGCATGCCTTCCGAGATCGGGTTCTGGACGGGACGCTCGAAGATGACATCAACGAGAAACTGCAGGAAGCCGCTCGGTTGAAAGGCTCAAGCTTGCCAGAAATTCAGGTCGATAAGACGCGCTTCTTCAATCTCTACGAGGACAGCCTCCTGGCCCTCTCGGAGTTGACCAAGCATCAGAAAGAAAAGCTATGCGAGATGCAGAATGCCACAAAGATTCACTTGGCTGCTCCAGCCGGCGCAGGAAAGACCTTTCTTGCCATCCATTTCCTCGTGCACATTCTGCGCAAGGCTTCGTCAGGGCGAGTTATTTATATCACACGTTCCAAGGAGCTCGTCTACCACTTCTTACAATGGATGACCATGCGCCTGGCAGCTCTTTTTCCGCGGAAGCGCATCATAGCAAAGATCCAAGATGCCTTCAGGAGGATGATCGTAGTATATGAACAAGATGGACAGTATTCGAAGTGCTACCGCCCGGAGGTGGCTGAAACCACGAGTCGGTTCCTCGAGCTCAAAGCCCTCAGGCCCGTGGAGGCTCAGGAGAAGTTCGCCTTGGTCGTCGTGGACGAATGCCACAACATCTTCCGGCCGGATGTTTCCTATGAATTCATGGAGCTGGTGCGCTGCCACCGGCTGCTTCTTCTTTCCGATGCGTCTCAGTCTGCAGCGGCTCTACAGCACTATCCGTTCTATCTGACCTATCGCATGAAGCACGTCAATCTTGCAGAAATCGTGCGCAGCACGAAAAGGATCGTTTCGGGAGCTGCGGCTTTTCAATTGGGCCAAGACGCTCAGGCTGCAGATACTGCGACAGTGGTGAATTCGCTTGGCACAGATGGACTGCCTTTGAAAACGTACATTTTCAGAAAAGCGGCCTTGAGAGACGATCAGCTCTTCATGGAGTATGCCAAGTACGTGGTTCAAGCAGTTTGTCATGTCGTGCAGACCTTTGCGGGCATCCACTTTCATCGGCGGCTGGCCATCCTCGTGCCCAATGATCTGTTCCTCAGCAAGTTCGAGGCTCACCTGAAGCATGATCTCTCCCAGTGGTTTCCTCGTCGTCACTTCCAGCTGGTATCCTTCAAAGAGTCTCTCCGTTTTCTTCCCGAGCGCCTTCAAAGAAGCAGCTCCCAGGACTTGCAGGAGGAACGCCTCGTCTTCGACACCGTCGATGCTGCGGACGGTTTGGAGCAGATGATCGTGGTGTGCGTGGGCCTCGATGCACCAAGCGGTGGGGAGGAAGACCTGAAAACCCGTGCGAAGCTCTACAAAGGCATCACCAGGGCCCAGCTTCTGGCCATTGTTGTAAATGAAAGCATCCCAGGAGGATGGCTAGAGTTCTTGGGGGCCGTGAAGTTTGAGCACGGACAGCTTCGGGCCGAGGAGGCCACTCCCCAAAGCTCAGTCGCGGCTGCCAAGATGAACGTCGAGGCGCAGCGGAAGGCCCAATCCGAATCGCCAAAGAAGCAGAGAGTCGAGGTCGAGCCAGAAGCTGTCCGAGTTGAGCATGTGGAGGCTGGGAGCTCGCTGAAGAGTTTGACATCAGTTAGCTGTGTGGAGGAAATTCAATAGTTAAATGCTTTCCCTATTTGGGGGACTCATAAACTTAATTCATAAATTGAGCTCCTTAGCAAGCAAAGCCAGGAGAAGACGCTTCTGGAGACAGCAGAGGACCCTGAAGAGCCCAGGAAAAGGCCGGCGGCCGCAGTACGCGAGACCGACACGAAGTCATCGGTGCTGCAGCACACGGAGCATCAGCAGCCAGCAGGACGTGGCCGGAAGAGCGATGAGAAAGATGAGAAGATTGCCTCCAGCGTCTGGGACACCACAAGCAACGAAGTCTCTGCACGTCTCGACGAGCTCAAGCTAAACCCATTCGAGGCCGTGGTCCGTTTACGAATGCTTCTGTGAAACCTTCCTTATGTACCCCGCAATCTCTGGATTCATGTAGTACTGTTCGCTCAAGCTCGTTTCTGCACGCAGCTTCTGTCCTTCCCCCCCCACCTGCGTGTTTCTTGCGGTTTAGTAAGGCTTAGCCCTGAGGTTCGGCAGCTTCCGGATCTTCATGCGTCAAACCTGAGACTTGGACGATATCTTCGTGGAGGGTATCAGAGGCTCATTAAACTGCTTAAATATGGGGAATGGTCAAGTGAGTCAAGTGGTATTGGTTTGGCTTCTCAGCCAATTCCATTTCCTGGACAGATCAACCCGGATGCCAAACACTGCGTCGTGTCGTTTCCGTTGAAGTATTCCGACCTGTGGAACCGGCTGGTGTCGTCGTCCACCGGCGGTTCCGGAGCTGTGTCGCTGGCCGAGGTGGTCGCGACGGATAGAAGCTTCGGCTTGGGCCAGCATGGCCTGAATCCAGAGACGCCAGGAGAGTGCTGGTGTCAAACGATCTACCCTCCTCTGCCTGCATCGACATACTTGAATGTTGTTGAGTTCGACCCACACGATGATGGCCAACAGATGGCTTTGAAACGGTGCGACGCCGAAGCAATGGGCCAGATGCTTCTTGTAAAGAAAGACCAATCCGACATAGAATGGGAATTCGAGCTGGCGAGTGCTTTAGAAGAGGCTGAGGAGCTCTGCCGACGAAATCGCAGACGCGCCCCCTGGGGATGTATGTGGTTCGATCTGTGGAGGGAAAATGTTGCCAAAGCCGTGGAGTTGGGTCAAGTCCTGCATGTATTCTACTTCCAAGACCGCAAGGCACAGGGAAAGATGGCTTGGGATGACCTTTGCGATGAGGGTGCCAGACAGCGGGCCAGGAGAGTGACTGGCTTAGGAGCCTCACAGACAGCCGAAGTGGCTTACCTTGACAAAATGGGTTGGAACTATGTTGAGCATGACATCATGGAGTTTGAGTAGATATGTGGGCACTTAGTTTGAGGAGTTCGTGGCGAACCAGAGGTAGCAAGCGATTCAGTTCGTCCTTGGCAGTGGCGAAAAGATTTGCCAAGCTCAGGAATGCTGAATTTTCGCAAGTCCGGAAAGATTTCCAATAGTTGGCAAAGCATGACAGCAGCATTTTCTTGACTCAACCCACAGTCTCGCATCTTTGATTCTGTTCTGTGGGTTCTGCTCATGTCTAATGTGACACATGGACAGGACGAAATATTGTGAAGCACTGCTCCACCGCACAAAACCCGAGAAGTCATGTCACCTACACGTACCTGTCATGTGCAAGCTACTTAATGCAGCTGCCGACCCTCATGGGTTTTAGGCGGAAAATGTTCGTAAGCACGCGCGCAGTGTATTTTCTGCTCTAAGTCTCTGCATGTTTGGTGACCTTTTTGGACTAGGCGTATATTCTTTTGGGTTGGCTCGCTCCTCATGGTCGTCGTTGCGCGGACGAGGGTTGCAGGAAGACGCCGCAAAGTTCGCCGCAATTCGGCCAAGCTCTTTGTTTGCATGAGAGGGCCGGGAGTGGGTTTCCACGAATCCTTCGACATGGTTTCAAGTGTGATGGTACCTAAAAAGGATCTGATTGAAATTATCATCGGCGCAATGCTGTTGGATGCGTAGGTTGTCCAAAGCTTTACGTCGCCGGGTTGGGCCTTTCAGGGGTTACCGTTTTCTGGTGTTCGTTTTGCCTGGGTTTGAGGTTAGGGAGGCAAAATTGGCACTCGGGATTCCCCGTAGGGTAGCTGATCATGGTGGCAGCCGGACGGAGCCATAAATTTATGGCATCGCATGCTCTGGTGTTCTACTACAAAGAGTAATTTGGGTAGTTCTCGAAGTTCGGGTCCCGAAAAAAAACGATCATGTTCTTTTTGGGAGACTGAGGACTGACGGTCCCTGATTGGGGCACTGGATATGAGCCGTAGTTTTTGCACGAAGACGCTGGTGGCTGAAGTGAGGTCTCGCGCAGCGCTGCCGAACGCGAGTCAGGCCGGCTTCACTCGAAACTCGTTAGCTGGGAAGCCTGAACTTGGCTTGGGTGGGGCTATATTGTTGGTATCGGGGCCTTCACGAGTTTTGTACGAATGTTTGTGAAGGCTTTTGATATGAACTTTGGACGACAGAACCACAAAGGCACTGCCGGCGGCGCGGCGGACGGTGGCAAGCACCTGCATGAAACAATGACAGAGCTCCTCCGAAAATAAATGGAAAAAGCCATGCGCCGAATACGACATCATGGTTGGTTTTTGAAGTTCAGGGGTTGTCAGGCGTTCGAAATTCTTTGGGGCACCGTTGCCTCCAGCAAGAGCTATCAATAGTGCGGTTGAAGTCGTCTGAATCTGCTCTCAATTTGGTCCAAACGACGCCATGTAACTCTTTCAAAAACGACTGTTTCAAGCGAGAGTTTTCTTGCACCCGAAACCCGCAAAACCCACCCAAACTCACGCAACCTTGCAAAAACCGTGCAAGGTTTTGTGTAACGGAGGCGTACTTGAGCATGTGGAGGTTTTTTTTTGTTGTTTTCGGACAGAGGGCCGACGATCCGCTCCATCTGAGACCCTAAATGAAGGGCAGCAAGACAATTGGCAGTTCACGGACGTTCCCAGTGTGAGAAAGTTCCAGTTCCAAGCAAGTTCAGACGTTGCCGCACGTCAGGCTTGATATTCTAAGTTTAGAGGGAGCACCTGCAAGATGCAGGACATTGCGCGAGGTTCGGCATCATTGGACCCCAGAATGGCTCCCAGATCTTTCTCGCACAGGCTGGTGCGCACGGTTTGATGCTGCGTTGGCCTCATGTGCCAGCGTGTCGTGCCTCTACGAGCTCGACGTCTTGAGATTGCTGCTGCACTGGCCACCGTTGGCACGCTGTACACAGGTTGCTAAGACGCCGTCCATTGTGCTAGAATGGGTCCGTGGATTTGGCACCAGCTCACGCCCGGGAAGGTCACGGCAGCGGCCGTTTCTTTCGCTTCATCGTCGCTGCTGAGGTAGCTGTAGCTTTGCTCTTGGTCCTCCCTCCTTCTCTCTCCCTCCTTTGTTTCGGTTTCCCGGAAAAAGCGACTGCAGCAAGCAAAGCTGCTGTGCAGTCACATAAGCCCGGATTAGAAACTGGCAGCAAGGAAGGCCCCAAAAAGAAAGTGAGGTTCAGAAGCTTCCCACCAAGCTGCATCAGTGTAGCAAGACACAAAGTAGACATCACATACTAAAAGCGAAATATAAGAAGCGAAGGGAGAAGACCTTCGGTTGCCACAGAATGAAAGCGTCTGGCGGGAGAATGAAAACTGACGACCAAATGCCTTCGTTTACTCTGAGGGTGGTTTCGATAAGTGCTTGCCCGTTGCACCGCTTCAGCTCAAGCAAGCACACCACAGAACAACAGCCTTTGTTAGGAACTTTCTTCCGCCCGCCCTCACCTTGGGCGATTAATTGCTCTTTCCAGGTCTCTGCCCGTTAAGTGTGCTAGCACCAGTTCTCATCTTCAGCACTTAGCATCGCTTTGGCTTTTGGCTTTTTGCAGTTCACTCTGTTGCTTTGCTTTCGATACGGGCTTATGCGACGGCACAGCAGCTTTCGCAGCAGCTTTGTTTGCTTTCAGGATCCGTAGCTTTTGGTGTTGCGTGGTGTAAGACTTACCTGAGCGCCGTTGATTGTTTTTGGCAGCTTTCGCAGCTCGAGAACGTGGAACATGTTCGAGTATAGAGGTGGAAGGCATGCCATGACAATGTTGTAACGATTTCTCACGACAAACGGCTTGCGCATTTACATGTATGTTGTCTCCTGTGACCGTCCAAACCACACGGAAGTGCAGCCGTCCAGTTGTGTTCGCAATGGTGAAGCTGTCATAATGCACGTGGCAACATGTGCTCATCGTGCACAAATTCCGAAGTCCCAGCGGCCTCTCGGGTGCAGCAGCTCAGGTGTTTGTTGGGATTTTGCGTAATTGGTTTGCTGGGTGCCAGCGCTGTGCAGCCAAGACAACACATGCAACCACGCGGTGTACGTCAATGCTCACCGCGTCATCGTCAGCAGCACTTGTTGCAAGCCCTTGTCGGATTGTTGCGGCAATGGCTGAACGGCTTGCAATGCATTGGCCTTTCTGAAAGCACACCGTCGCAACACAAGATTTAGCGTAAAGCATCCGGATGGAGTTGAAAAAACGTCGCAACGTCCAAGGTTTGTGTCGCCTTGCGTCTCATCTTGGGCGTTTCCGTCTCCAGCTCGCAGAGAACAAGTCCCTCTACGACATGTGAGGCTGGCAACAGGAGGCCATTCGCTTTCTCACGACTTGTGTTCTGAGGTTGTCCTGCATTCTAAGCTCGTTTACTTGATTGCTTAACAAGTGCTTGCAAGCTACCTGGCGCGTTCTGATGCAAGCTGAATCAGAAGGCTTAGACCTGGCATCGTCGAAGTTTAAGCCTTAAACGCAGAACTGATGCACCCTAAACCCTAAACCCTAAACCCTAACTTGCAGGGGAGACGCTTCAAGCAGCAGAAGCTGCAGGGCTAGGCGCGGACAGGGCTGAAGATGGCTTGCTGGCGGTTTAGCATGCTAGTTCCATGGGGGCATAGCATAAAAAAAGGGTATGATACGAGATCTCAGAAGGAATTCCGAGACAGGTTATGCAGTTGCACAGAAGGAGGAAGTTTTAGGGAGAAAGGTTTCGGCCATTTACTGAAGTGTTGAAACGTGTCCCCTCGCGTTCGAGACAGTTGGATTGCTATGAAACGTAAGATTTTGCATCGCGTTGACTTCCGTGCAGGGGCACTTCTGCTCCTTATGGTACGGCGCATATCTTTGCGACGGCGACATCGTCGACATCAAGATTTGCTGGAGGCTTGTGGTTGTAAACGTCGGGAGAGGCTGGAGTGCCACTGTTATATCCGTTGTCGGTACTGTCGTTCTGCATGCCATGACTGGTTCTGCTGCTGTTGCTGCCTCTCCTACAGCTAATGTAACGCTGACGACCTGCACGAATGCTACTGTTGCACACTGCTGTTTTGTTTCCTTTTACTACCATCGCGACGACGAGTACGTTGACTCGTGTTAGTATCAGTACTTTTGAGCTAGTATCATCTGATCCTCCTCCTCCGAATCCTCCTCCTCCCCATCCTAGCTTCTACAAATACTACTACTGATGCTGCTACTACTACGACGACGACGACGACGACTACTACTACTGCTGCTGCTGCTGCTGCTGCTGCTACTGCTACTACGACGACGACGACGACGACGACGACGGCGACTGCTACTACAGATGCTGCGGAATGCTCCTGCCGCTGCTACTGCTGCTGCTCCTGCCGCTACTGCTACTGCGACCGCTACTGCTACTGCTACTGCGACTGCTATTGCTACTGCTCCTGCGGCTGCTAGTGCTGCGTACTTCTACTAATGCTGCAACTACTGCAACTACTGCTGCTACTGCAACGACTGCAACGACTGCAAATACTGCAACTGCTGCGCATACTGCTCTAGCTACCCACAACAGCTCCTGCTACTGCTCCACTATCCTCCCAAACAGTAGCAACAAGATTGCGACAAACAGCAAAGACAGCATTAGAAATGATAGCGTCAACGATGTGGACTACGACAATGCCACTCAAGGGAGCATAAACTCAGGCGCAGAAGTAGCAGCCGTGATCCCTGAACTCTTGAGCCGAAACCCTAAACACTACAAGTTTTCGTAGCACCAGATACACAGGTTGTTCTTCGTGGGATTTCTGCCTGGCTGCGGCCCGCAGGCTTGCGGTCGCCATGCATCATGTAGAGTCTCAGCAGGTTTCGGGCTCGGACTGTTTAGGGTTTAGGGTCGGTAATATAGGGGCCTTAATAATTAGAATAGGGTTTGGGGTATATTATACTATAATTATAATAAGGAACCCCCCAAAGCCCTATTCTAATTATTAAGACCCCTACCTTATCTTATGGATGGTGGGAGGGAGGATCGATGCTGCTTTGCAAAGGTGCCTGCGCCAGCAGGAAATCGAAACTCAGAGCCGGCGAGTTTGTAGAGGTTCAACGGAAGAGAGAGAGTGCTTTTAGGTTTTAGGGTGTAGGATGGATTTAGGATTTGGTAAAGGCGCCTTCAAGTTTCCTCTTAAAGGGATACAAATGGGGTTGTTATAAGGGTGACTCTACCTCTGTACAGGAATCTTCCCCCCCCATCTCGGAACTCTGCAAGGCTTTACAGCGGAGGGCATAACGGTCTGTGGATGAGATTTGTTTTGTCGGTACTGAGAAGGTGGGAAGACAGTGATAGGAAAGAGATGTTCAGTGCTTGGCTGTATTTCTTCGCAGGAAGTAACAAGCAAGAAAAGCACGTACGATGCAGGTCATTCTCTGTAGTCATCCGTGGGCAGTTAAGTGGAAACGTTCATAGCACAACCTAGCATAGCGTATAATCAGCCGCCAGTGCTGCAACGTGAGTGGTCCGTGGTCAGCAGCACGCGCTATTGTCAGGAAAAGCCCTAAACCCTGGCCGGGTACAGAATCCCGAAACAATAAACCGTAAGCTCAACAAAGGCTTAAGAGCGTGAGCAAGGAGGAGCGGCAGTCCTCGCAATCGTCGTCTTCCAATGCCACGGCTCCTTAACCCGAAAACCCCAAGCCCTAAACCCAAAACCCTAAACCCTAAACCCTAAACCCAAAAAACCCCAAACCCTAAACCCTAGAACCCTAAACCCCAAACCCTAAACCCAAAACCCTAAACCCGAAACCCCAAACCCTAAACCCCAGCAATCGTAGTTGCCTTCGCCTCAGAGAGGTCGTGAGGCCCTGGACCTGCGGCCCCTTGGGTCCTTCGGAGCCGAGGTGCGAGGCGCGCCGTTTCTTTACTGTTTAGGGTTTAGGGTTTAGGGTTTAGGGTTTAGGGGAGACATGGGTATCGAGTCGCCCTCCCTAGGGTTGCTAGCACTTGGGGGCTTGGGGGAATGAATGTATAGCGTTAGGATGGCGAAGGCTTCGTGGCAGGAAACACATCGCCTGGGAAGGTGAAAGAGGTGCTAAGCCAGTTTAGGGTGTAGGGTTTATGGTCTAGGATTTTAGGGTTTGAGATGAGTCGTCCCAAATTACCGAGGTGCGCAGTTGCAGCAAGTGACCCATGACTGAGTCAAGCAATGCCAGTCCGGCAATGGCCAGCATGGATGTTCTCTTTCTTTGTTGTGATTCACACAGCTGCACAAGGAGTTTTGCATTCTCATATTACATTATCGTATTCTCATACATTTCTGTTGTCTTGTATTTATTAACACATGTTTCTTACAGTTTTACTTTGGGATTGTGACACAGCTCTTTTTCGTATTGTTGTGGTGATATTATAGTAGTTAGCCCAGCCCTGAGCACCAGATATTACCCTGGTTCTTAGTGGGGAATGGGGGAATGGATCCCTATGATAGTCCCCCTTAACGTCCCCTACAGTAGTCCCAAAATCCCATTCCCCCATTCCCTACAAAGAACCAGTCAGATATTACCAGGCCTCGATCTCAGTTCTCCGGATTTGCCGTCTGGGCAGCTGCGCGCATTGCCCCCCGGCATTCAAAAGCCTACCCTCAACCCTAAACCTTAGAACCCTAAGCCCTAAACCCTAAACCCTAAACCTTAGAACCCTAAGCCCTAAGCCCTAAACCCTAAACCTTAGAACCCTAAACCCTAAATCTCAGAACCCTAAACCCTAAACCTTAGAACCCTAAGCCCTAAGCCCTAAACCCTAAACCTTAGAACCCTAAACCCTAAATCTTAGAACCCTAAACCCTAAACCCTAAACCCTAAACCTTAGAACCCCAAGCCCTAAGCCCTAAACCCTGAATTTAGGAAGGTGAGGTCCTCCGAGCTTCGAAGCTCACACGTTCAATGTTGATCTTTAGCCATGGACCTCTGCTTGAACTCCAGAGACCTCGACATCGATTGGTCGCGACATTCGGGAGAATGAGGCTTTGGGAGCATGGCCTCCTGCTGTTTCGTGATCAGGACTTGCTGGAGGAGGCAGCGGGCGGCGTCAGCTTGCGAATTTTTGTTGCGTACCGTACTTTTCCTAAGGATGACGGCTGCTTTTTGCAGGCAGATCAGTCCAGTAGAAACCTAAAGTTCTTTTGATCGACTTCTGAGCAGCCTTCGGAAGCACCGACACGCTCGTCCTCAAAACTCTCAGCCCTCAACTACCTGAGGCCCTGAATCTTACAAAACCCTAAACCCTAAACCCTGTGCTTTGAGGACGTCCTCCGTGTCGCTTCAGCTTTTGCAGAACCCGTCCCTGCTGCCGGGCAGCAACGTGCGCTGGCCACGTACCGTGCCTTGTCTCCTCACGGTTCCAGAATTTTGGCAGGATTCTTGATGAGGCTTCGGGCTTCTAGTGATATATAGGACCCATACCTGGTACTCATTCATGAGGGCTTCTCTAAATCAGGATTTCTTCCAGTATATATCCTTCTTACAAGACCGTGCTCCTTGTGGGAGTATGGGTACTCCACTTACAGGAACACAGAATCACAAAAGAGGGTGACAAGCGAGGACCATTACAAGTACAGTTAGTAGCATCATGGTTCGTATTACCGTTGATTCTGTTATAATCCGTATAATTGATTTTTGTCATTCTCATTCTTGGGTTATTAGCATTGTTGCTGCTATTGTCATTAGCAGTAGTGGTAGTGGTAGCAGCATCATTCTGATGATTCCTGCTCGTTTAAGATTGAGTTGGTATTGGGAGCATGCTTCGGGCTTTCGTCCCTGAGCTTTTGCATACGTAAGTCGGTGGTAGCACGAGAACGAGCCACCTTACCTGATCACAAAGCTTGTGTGCACTCCATGCACTAGGTCACTAGGAGTGCCTGTTTCCCTTCGTCAGCAACATACACCGTAAAGTGTAAACGCTAAAACCCAAAGCCTGAACTCTAAACCTTCTAAACCCTCAAAGCCCCAACCCCTACACCCTAAATCCTAAACCACTGCTGGATGGATCCTATGAACCTGGAAATACAGACAAGTACAATGCTCGTGTGTGAATATATATGTTCGAAAGTTTCGGGCCCCAAATAGTTGAAATGACTACAATAATCCAAATCCCTGGCCTCATCCGGATTCCCTCTGATGAAAACATTACAAGAATCCGGATTTTGATTATTTCAATTATCTCCAAAATTTTTGGGGTCCAGACAATTAAGATATTCAAAAATACTTCAAATACCCCTTATTTGAAGTACATTAACTGTTTTGATTATTTTGATTGTTTTAATTACTTAAACCGTTGAGTTTCTGGTCTAATGTAATACAGTACTATTGCTGCAATTATAGTATTTTTTTTAAAAAGATTTGGGTCGCAATAAATAATAATAATAACAAAAAACAAGAATAATAACAATAATGATAATTAAAGTAATTCAATTCCCTGGCCTCACTCCGGTAATCCCCGTTGAAGTAATTGATTTAGTTGAACAAATCCAGGTTGTATTTCTAATTATTCACAAGTCTGGGACCCAAATATTTACAATATATATAATATTTAAATTACATTACTCTTGTTTGAGTTATTTCAAGTATTTTGATTATTGTATTCATTTTGGGTTTCTGGTTGAATATAAGAAAATACTATTGTTGTTGTTATTTTATTTTTTTTTTAAAGTTCGGCGTCCAAATAATTAAGGTAATTAGAAAAATCCAACTCCCCGGCCTCATCACCGGATTCCCCTTGATTAAAACAATTGAAAATATCGGGATCTTAATCATTTTGATGATAAAACAAATTGAGACGCCCAAATAATTACAATAACTAAAATCCCAATTTGTTGAATTATTACAATTATTTTGATTGTTTTATTTATTGTAATTGTTGTAATTATGTAAATCATTGAGTTTCTGGTTTAATAGAAGAAAATACTATTGTTGTTGTTATTTTTTTTTAAAGGTTCGGCGTCGAAACAACTAAGGTAACTAGAAAAATCCAACCGGATTCCCCTTGATTAAAACAATTGAAATATCGGGATCTTAATCATTTTGATGATAAAACAAATTGAGACGCTCAAATAATTACAATAACTAAAATCCCAATTTGTTGAATTATTTCAATTGTTTTGATTATTTTAGTTATTTTAATTATTGTAATTATGTAAATCATTGGGTTTCTGGTTTAATATAAGAAAATACTATTGTTGTTGTTATTTTATTTCTTTGAAAGTTCGGCGTCCAAATAATTCAGGTAACTAGAAAAATCCAACTCCCTGGCCTCATCACTGGATTCTCCTTGATTAAAACAATTGAAAATATCGGGATCTTGATCATTTTAATGATGAAAAAGTATTTGGTCGCCCAAATAATTACAATAACTAAAATCCCAATTTGTTGAATTATTTCAATTATTTTGATTGTTTTATTTCTTGTAATTATTTTGATTATGTAAATCATTGGGTGTCTGGTTTAATATAATAGAATAATGTTGTTTTACGTATTTTAAATATTTCAAAAATTTTCGGCCCCAAATAATTAGAACAATTCAAATCACTCTCATTTAATATATTTTGGTTGTTGTAGTTATTTAAAGAGGGGAAATCCTTGGATAAGGCTAGTGATTTTGATTATCTTCATTATTAAACAGATGTTGAGGCCCAAATAACTAAGATAGTTGAAATACTTCAAATTCTTGAGCTCATCCCGGATTTCTCTTCACTTAAATATTTTAAGTAGTTAAGACAATCAAAAGAATTGAAATAATTACAATAATAAAATAGTTAAAACAGCTAAATAATTCAAAACTAAATAAGTAGAAAAGTTAAGATAACTAACATACGTCAAGTACGTTTACATTATTTACAATCCTTCTAATATTATCTATAGTAACCGGATGAATGCGTCAAATAGATTCAAAGATGCTTCTTTCACACACACATATATATATATCTATCTGTATATACACATAACTTTTATATACACACATTTATGTACATGTATATATATATATAGATTGCATGTATATATATATACACATATACATCCAATATTTCTACACATTATGTATATTATGCATACGTACACATTTATGGAGGTATGATGATGCTGGTGATGATGAGGGTATGCATATATATATATGTTTGTGTATGTACTATATATATATATATACATACATCTATCATCGATGTATGTGTAAGTATTGTTCGTGTCATGTCTTGAAACCCCCACACCCCGGACCTATACGCACCCACACCCAGGAGTTTGCAACCGAGATCCTGCTCTGCGAGGATCGGCCTACATTGCTGGGCCCAATGCAGGGAAGCCAGTACCAACAAGGGTTTAGGGTTTAGGGGGTTTAGGGTTTCGGTCGTAGAAGTTGTAGAGAAGCATGCAGATACAACCCAAGAAGGAGAAGCGATACCTTGATGCCTCGAGCCTTCGGTTGCTTTTTCAGGTGGGGAGTGACTGTTAGTGGGACATTTCAGATTTCAACGTGGCACAGGACAGGATTTCTGGCATTCCGACAACTCTTACGCCGGGCACCCAGCGAGCTCACCGTTCTCGAAACTCCTCAGCATACTGGGTGATCCTACTTAGACTCTACACCCTGCAGTCCTAGAAAAGTGCAGGTTTGGGGGCATCAGTTTTTTTGCAAGAGCGTTGGGGCCGCGGCTTTGAGGCCTTCCGAAGCCCTGGACCCGAGACCTCAAGCCCGAAACCCTGTAGAATCTTGACGAGAGACCCCCAAAACATCAGACCCTAGACCATAAACCTTAACCCCGAATCCGGAAGCCCTAAACCGTAAACCCCGAAGCTTAAACCGCAAACCCTAAACCCTAAACCCTCAAGAGCGAAATAGACCAGTCCAGCCCGGCCCCAAATTGGAAATCAGGTTCCAAAAGGAAAGCCCGCTCAAAACCTTCGGTCAAAGGTTCGGTCATAACTTCGGCGCCCAAGCTCTTAACAATTTCGTATAAAACTTACAAAGCAAGCCCTCGTAACGCCTAGTAACCCTAAACTCTAAACCCTGAACCCTCAACACTAAACCCTAAACCCTAAACCCTCAACCCTCAACCCTAAAGCCTAAACCCTAAACCCTCAACCCTAAAGCTTAAGCCCCAAACCCCAAGCCCTAAACCCTAAACCCCAAACCCTAAACCCCAAACCCTACACCCGACACCCTAACCCCCAAAAAACCCTAAAGCCAAAAGCCTTGAGGCGCCGGAGCCCGGGGGCCCCACCCTGCTGTATGCCCTGGACATCCCGGTCGGGCCCGAGGCTCTAGGGTTTAGGGTTGAGGGTTTAGGATTTAGGGTTTAGAGGATTTACGGTTTAGGCCTGAGGGTTTAGGGTCTAGGATTTAGGGTTTAGGGTTTGGGGTTTAGGGTTTAGGGGTTTGGGGTTGAAGGTTTCGGGTCTAGGATTTCGGATTTAGGGTTTAGCGTTTAGGGTTGAGGGTTTAGGATTTAGGGTTTAGGCTTGAGGGTTAAGGGTCAAGGGTTTAGGGTTTGGGGTTGAGGGTTTGGGGTCTAGGATTTAGGATTTAGGGTTTAGGGTTGAGGGTTTAGGATTTAGGGTTTAGGCTTGAGGGTCAAGGGTCTAGGCTTTACGGTTTAGGCCCGAGGGTTTCGGGTCTAGGATTTAGGGTTTGGGGTTTAGGGCTGATGGTTTCTCGTCCAGAACAGTAAAACCCCCCAATAAGACTGATACGAGTAACAAGAGGAATACTGATACTACTCATCCTCCTGCTCCTGCTGCTGCTAATCATAACAATCAAAACAACTAAAATAGTGTAAATAACTAACCGTTGCACAAGATAAATGATAATAGTCAAACTAATAGTATTTACACAAGTACCAGCAATCATAGCAATAATCGTAAACACCAATGACAACAATAACAACAAGCACAACAACAGCACTAATTAATAAGAGTAGTGGCAATAACAACAATAGTATCCATAATAGCAGCAACAAAAGTAACAAGAACGCCAACAGCAACAATAACACTGCTGGATTAGCGTGTACCGTTTGGGGTTTAGGGTT